ACAGATTTATTCTTTATACTCTTTCATGACAAAGGACCTTTAACTGCTGATCATACAGAAAGCCATGACTGCAATTAAAAATGTTTGACAAGGAATAATACCGTTTGCTTGTTTTAAGATGTCATCTTGAAATCTTCTAGGAAAAAAAATCAGTATCAGATTCCATTGTATTACATACAGTAAGTCACAGAATTTATGCAGTGATATCACCATGCAAGCAATGTCACTTATCATTGAGTTTCTACCAGATACCTACTGTATGCCACTATAATTTGAAGGAACCCCTTTGGCACTGTTCCCTCTAAGGTGCGCGCCTGCGCGGCCGCGCACATGGAAAGAAATCCCCGCGCAGCAGTTTCTAACTGCCACGCAGAGATTTCTACCAAAGCAAACGTGGGGAAGTCCTTTGCNGGCATACAAATGAAATAAACAGTTAAACAGTTAAACAATTTGCAACCCAATTGCCATACTCAGAGCTCAAACCAACAACCTAACAAGGAGACAAAGGAAGATCTAATCCGGTGATAATGGAGCAGAAGCTCCCATGCAGTAGAGGAGCAGAGATGGGTGGGAGAACAGAGGGAAGACCTGCTGATGCATATTCTGGATCCACTGAGATTTATTGATGATCCCGTCTGAAAGCTAATTTTGCACAGACAGGACCAAAACATTGTTAAATGGGAAGATGGAAAGAGAGCAGGAAGCTGAAGAAATACGACTCTCTGTTGATATACTTGTGGTTTCCCCCCCCCCCTCTGTTGGGGCTCACTTCTAATTTCCTTGGCATTTCTTCTTTCTTAAGGCCTGCAGCCAGTGCTAAATAGTCCCTCGACCTATGATCACAATTGAGCCCAAGATTTTTGCTGCTAAGTGAGACAGTTGTAGGGTGGCTTTTGCCACATTTTGCTACCTTTCTTGCCACCAGTGTTGGGTGGGTTGCTGTAGGTGTTAGATTGGCGATGCGGTTGTTGAATGAATCTCAACTTCAACTTCTCAGAGGATTGCAAAGTTGGATTGTATGACCCCCCCCCCCCGGGACACTCCAATTGTCATGGATTTGAACCTGTTTCCGGGCATCCAGGTTTTGACCATGTGACCACAGGGATGCTGGGTGTTCGTGGGTATGAAAACCGCTTGTGAGTCCTTTTTTTCTGTGCTGTTGTGGCTTTGAACACTCACTAAACTATTGTACATCAAGGACTACCTATAACACCCTTCTCATGTAAATGTATTAGCTCATTCCCGGTATGTAATTGGTTCTCTTCATACCGAGGCTGGATTCTCTAGCCTGGGTTTCAGAGTAGAATCATTGAGTTCAAATTACAAGAAAGTAGATTCAGGACTGAGAGGAAAGAAGCAACCTAGAACTAAGGAGAATTTCCCTGACAATTAGAACAATTAATCAGTGGAATGACTTGTTTTAGGTTGCTTCTCTCCTTGATTAATTGTTTCTTGTCTGGCCTTCTTATGCTTGGAAAATAGTTGGCCCTCTCTTCCAGTTAATATATTTTTATTGTTTTTACATTTAAAATAGTGCAACACAGCCAAGCCATTATGGCCATACAATCACAGTATATATACATAATCTCATCCATTAGCTGTCAGCCTACTTAATACAGTATCTATCCTTCCATCCAATCATGTTAATTACAATCTGATCAAGACTTGTCACCTTGTCTTATACTAATAATAAAATCTGTTCCAAACTTCATCATAATCTGACTCACCTTTATTTTTTACTTCTACGGTGAGCCTATCTGCTTCCACACCACTGTTCCCTCTAAGGTGTGCACCTGCGCGGCCGCGCA